CTAAACCCTAAACCCTTTACAGAACCCTTATAGATCCCTTTAAGGAACCCCAAAAAGGATCCCTTTAAAGGAACCCCTTAGTTTGACAAAAACCTGACTTCGGCCGAGCCTCATAGGACCCCGAACCGGACCTTCATGGCCCCTTCTTGGAGGTTCATGGGTAGTTATAAGGGTTCTTTTAAGTGCCCCTTTAAAGGATCTATAGGGATGCTATAAGGGTATAGGGTATAGGGCCTACTTGGAGGTTCATGGGTAGTCACAAGTGGGGTTATAAGTTCCCTAATATGGGTTATAAGTATATGTTACCTTACATATAATCCCAGTTAGAACTACCCATGAACCTCAAGTTGAGAGTCCGAACACCGTTTAGGCTCTAGGCTTTAGGGTTTCGGGGTTTCGGGTTTATGGTCTATAGGGGTCTAGGTCTAGGGTTTAGTTTAGACTTTGGGGTTTAGGGTTGAGGGCTTCCTCCCTACATAATATAGAGGCTCCAATACTATTTTGAGGGTTCCCTATTTTCGTTATAATACAGGGTTGTGGCTTTTAGGGTTTGGGGTTTAGGGTTGAGGGCTCCTGAAATACAGAACATACGAACTTAGAAGTGCTACTGGACTTTGGGCGGTGGACCAACGCCTTCCCACAATGAGAAATCTGCCGCCGAAGGGAAGCAAACCACTGCGACACTCCCGAGATTATGAATTTCTTTTCATATAGGGTTTGGATGAGTGTGTAGGGCTGTTTGGAAATACTGGTGTATGTATGAAGGGGTCTCAAATGTCAGGCGCAGTAGTTGCTGATCGTCCCTAGTATAGAGATATTGTGGAGCGCATAGCCGTGTTCCAAGCACGCATAGTTCAGGCGTTTGAATAAAGTCGGTTTGGGAGCTTCAGAAGTCAACGGACCCTACTTAAAGGATCATGGGACTTAGTAATTATGGTTATTATTCAGGTAACTATACTTGTAACCCCAATTCAGGTACTTATAGCCATACTTACTAAGTCCCATGATCCTCCGAGTAACCCGCTAATACAGACCTTAACTAAGTAGCAGGATTCTCGTCATGGGTGTGAGTACTCCTGGGTAAGGTATCCCTGGTGTGGGAAAAACCTAGGCATGTAGGGCTATCCTCCAATCTTCGATTGATGTTATATAAGGATAGGGTTTAGGGAGATAGGGTTTAGGGATATAGGGTTTAGGGTTTTGGGTTTAAGGAGACTTGATGGGAAAGTGATACCTACTAACCCACTGACAACCCCCACCCGTCCCCATTCCCAAATCAAAGCACTCACCACCCCACCTATGATTTAGAAGCTCCCCCCAGCCTGTAATAGTGGTATAATACGAATATAATAGGGCCCTAATATAATCCTGTATAATCCTTATGGTCACTATTACAGGGTGGGGGCCCCTTCTAACCTATGATTGCCGACGACCTCTTAAAATTGCTCTAGAGCCCCTCAGCAAGCCTGTAGAGACCGGACAGAGATGCCAGCTCGAAATCCTCTAGATGGGAGTTTCCGGAAATTGGGGGTACCTTATTTTGGGGGCCTTATAATAAGGAGCCTACTCTTTAGGGTACTATATTAGGGTCCCCTAGTTTCGGAAACTCCCAAATCCTCTAGATCTGAAGCCATAAACACGAGAGCTGTAGAGACCAAACTTAAAGCCCTGAAGCCATCGAGCCGAACACCTCAAAACCCCAAAACACCCCCTTATAAACGGTTTAGGGTTCCTAAACCCTACACCCTAAACCGATAAGCACCTAATGAACCCTTCAGGCGTGCTTCCCTCCGATGTGGAGTTCAGGTACTAAACCCCACAAGCCCTCTTTAGCAAGAGCTTGGCAAAAGAGATTTTTCGGTTTGGGGTGTAGGGTCTAGGGCGTAGGGTAAATGCACTCCAAAGCCAAAACCTGCGAAAGCGTGTACAACACACTGACAGTAAAGCGTGTAAAACCTCTCGAGAACCTTCTTCGATATATTCTGAAGTAAGGCCCCTATAGGAGGCTTGCTTCCCTTCGAAACGACCTGGCTTGTCCGCTTGGAGAGTGGACGATGTAGCTCAAGCGAACGCTGAGATCTGTGGGGGCTCCAGAAAATGTCTCTCTCATCAGATATCTCTTCTGCCTCCTCCTCAGGGCAGAACGTCCTTGCGTTACAAGCTTGGCTGCTGGTTGGGCATCAATTACTGGAAGTTTGTCATACAACCTTCGAGCCCTAAACTCTGAATTAAAGCCCAAGACACTCAAAACCAAGAACCGTACCCACCAAGTTGAAAGCCTAAACACTAATCCAGGAAGAACTTAAATTCCCAAACCCAAGAAGTCTTGTAAACCTGCCGCATTCCCAAGAAGCCCTAAAGCAGACGGAGCGCTGTTCCACCACCCAACTCAACTGCTCTATGACATGGAGCCAGGCTGAAGCCCTAACTAACCCACCACGCCCACCGTCAACATATAGATATGCGGGGTTTCCTTCTTTGTAGTTCGAGTATAATGTCTTGCACTTGCTCTTTTTGGGTTCCATGACTACAGCCACATCGTGTTGTATGAGGCTTTATACCCCAACCTGTTGTACGTCTTGTCAGCCGGTCAGTCGTTACATATCTTAGTGTAGGGATTACGGTGTATGTAGGGCTACCTGTGTTCATTCCCCTTTTCGGCCATGCGGCTGTATAGAAGTGCTCACTCATAAAGAACAACCCTAATCCAGACCTGAACCTGAAACATCTGCGTATGCAGGGTTTCTTTCAATGCTTCGCGTGTTTTTGCTAAAGGCTCTGGTGTTCATCACAGGAAAAGCGCAAACATTGAGGTGCGGGGTACGGAAGAATGAAGCATAGCGTGTCGCTTTGCTGTGTGAGCCAAATCTTGAGCATTCCAGCCTGTACTTGAGCCCTACTTAGAAGCTGTGTGGACACTTTACACTTTTCGGGATAACATTACCCACTATAAAACCAAACGTGTAGACTTTTGGGGGCTTATGAACTCAGCAACTAAGCCGAAAACGTTGACCCTCCAAGATGTTAGTAACGCTTCTTCCGGGTCTTGGAGCTCTAAACAGGCTTGCCATGTTATTTGAGAAAGATTGTGCGTTGTTTCCCTTCTTTCGAGGAGGCGGGCATGTCCTCTGATCAAGTGATCCTAAGACCTAAGATTGAGGGGGTCTAAATTAGGATCGGTTTTTTCCAGGAACTCTCATGCTGTTTCGCATGGTTGTACATCAGAATCAGTGTACATGTTTTACCTGAAGGAATTACAAACAGCCACTAGTCTGCATCCTTTGAGTTCGCAGCAAGGTTATGATTTTGCATCTGCACATGTGTCTGTGTTTGGTTTCTTTGTACCTGGTGCTCGCAGTGATCTCATGCATTACCCCCCCGCGGCAAAGACCCCAGTAATATCAATGATTGGCAACACTTCCCCTCAATTTCGTATATTGCCAGACGGCCCAAGACTCTGCCTAAAACTGTTGTGTAAGACCTTGTCTGGTTTGGCATCACGGGATATGTGTCAGCACGTCTTGGAGCCAAGATTCATTCAATGCCTAACCACTGGCCTTGCGATTAAAAGCCTTGTCGAGCGGCGAAATCAACCCAAGACTCCAAACACTCCTTTCAACTGAGGGTTAGACCCTATGGCAGCAGGATTTTGGAGTCTTTGAACACCTCTGTGTTGGCTGCTTTGACGTCGCCTGAGTGGCCGTGCAGCCAGCTAGGGGCCAGGGGTGCCTGGAAGATCACGAAATGTCCCGAACTTGTTGGACTCTCCCTGCCGCATGATCGGAACTCCTGCGCGGTGTTGTACAGGATGCAAGGGCTTCTCCTGTCCGGCAGAATCCACCTAAAGGCATGCCACTGTTGCTGGAAGATTCGTGGGTAGTTGCAGCTAAAGTTGTGTAGATCTTAGCCCGCGAGTAGGCTGTAGAAGTGATTTTCAGTGCGGCTAAGGTGTAGGGCTTCAGCACACTGAGTTTTAACATCTTGCGAGGCTACCCTCTCAATCCCCTAATCCCTGCAACTCTGAAACTCTGAAAATGACGGTCCGCCAGTAGTGCCATTTCAACCTTGTTTTCGGGGGATGTCCTTCTTCTAGGATGCCCAGTAGTACCCTTATTCCCTTTTTGTAGTCCTAGGTTCCTTATAAAGTTACCCAATACCAAAAAGAGAGGCCTTTTTACTCTTAGGTTACTGGGTATCCTAGTTGTTGAAACTGAAGAAGAAGGAACTTATCCTCATCACTCGAGGGTCCCAGGGTTGCTATAGGGGCCGGAATAGTCGACGATGACATTCCCTTTCGTCCCGACTATATCACTACCTGCGGCAGTGTCTGCCGTTTAATTTCCGGTCGTGAGATAATAACCAGTTATTTAACATGATAAGAGGCGGGGGCTAAAATACGGGCGTTGAGTGTTTTCAGAGTTTGTAGCGAGTTCGGGTGCAAGCCATGGGTTGGGCATAGGCCAGGTGTTGTTACAGCGGTTTGGGATACAGAGTTTGTAAGTTGGTGTTTGCAAGCATAAGACTGTGGTTTGGCCTAGCACAACAAGTTCGGAATGCTTCGGGTCTTCAGGGGTTTGGTTGTTGGGGTGTTAGGTAGGTTTAAGGTTTAGGGCTTAGGTTTAGGGTTTAGGGAACTGACGTCACTCCTGGTTCAAGAACCAACAACTTCTGAAGTTCTCGTAATCCCCAAGACCAGAGTAATTCCATTAAGAAACTCCAACTTGTACATCAGCCATATTTACATGGCACTTTAAACGGAAGCCCCTCGGGGCGGAAAGTAAGTCCCCGAACTCCGAAACCCCCGAAGTCCTTGAACTCCCTGAAGTCCCTCTCCTTCTAAAGATTTTGCGGCCTCGCTGGCTCCGATCGCAATGCTTTGAGCTGGGAACTCAGAGCCGACGAATCATCTTTAAAGGGGCTATTGCAAACTACTTTAGACCCCAGACCTAGACCCTATATAAAACTATAAGAGTTCAAGGGCTATATATACATTCAGGGACTCATCGTCGGTCTGCGTCCATCTCCACTCGAGTGGCCAAAAGATACCTCTGGATAGTTCGCAAACACAGCATCCTCGGCGAAACTCTCCTGCTCAGCCGTGACACACGCCCCACATAGTCCTCATCTTGAAAAGTGGCTCGTGAAAGAGGGTTCAAGCATGTGCCGCAGCGGCCAGCAGTGTGCAGCAGAGACAGCGATATATGATGGAAGCAATGTAGCTTCGGTGTCATATTGAATCTGCAGCTTTGGGTGTCAAAGGAGAGCTGAGCAGCCTTCTGATAACAAGCAAGAAACTGCATCCCTGCTCGACCAGCAATTGTAGCCTCGCGCTTGTCAAGCCAGAGGGAGGCCTGCAAGAGGGTCTTCATGAAGAGCTCAATCGCACCACAGCCAGAAATCAGCACCTGGTGCAATAGAACACCGTCCTCGCCGCGCTGCTGCAACACCCAGGCAGCGAACGCGACGAGGATCGGTGTATCCATCGCTTTGCTCCAATGTCCCACAGGAAATGTGGTCTCTGACGAAAAACCGAGAAGGTCTCTCGTCAGAGACCGGAAGTGCACAGACTTCCCACTGGACTTCAAGAAACGCCGCAAGTCTGCATTCAAATCCTCGAGCGCCTCCGGGACGGACCCACGGCCGTACAGACCCAAAGCAACAACGAGGGCGCTGGCGCCAAAATCGCGACCCACACCAAGATGGTATATGTGTAGGACATCCAATGTAAAAAACGATGGTTTGTCTTCCACGACATGTGCCACATGGTCAAAGAAAGGAGGCACAGCATCCCATGGCGGCGGATTGTGTGGCCCTGCTGTTGCAAGCCACGCCGGTTCATAGCCGAGATCCTCAAAGTCATACTGATCAGACCCAGCATGACAAAGCCAACAGCAGCCCGTAAGGGGTTTCGATTTGGGGCCTGCCGGCCCCTTGCGAATGTGTAGGAAGGTACGGGTCAGGTGACCACTCTTCGAAAGGAATGGGAGGTCTCCTTTGAGCCCCAAGGGGATAAAGCGCAGCACACGACCGTTTCCAATATCCAGGCCTCCGTAATAAAGTCGCTCGAAGTCCTTCATTGTCGCTGTGAGGAAGTTGTCGAATCTTTCAGGGTTGTCTTTATATACGCTTTTCGGCATGACCCCGGTCAAGAATCTCGTTGTAAACGAATGCCCCAGCAGGTTGACTCCAGGTTTCGAAGTTCTCAGTTTCTGAGGATTGGATAGACGGGTTCCCAGGCCCAAAATGGGCTGAAAAGCAATCACCATCAGCTCGTCACGTCGATATGTCCTCCCACCGTCTCCATGAATATAAAGAGGAACTAGCTGCCCAAAATCCAAGAAGTCGTGCTGGAACAATTCATGGTTTGGCTCCTCCTTAGCGTAGTTGCTCCAAAACTGTCGAAGTCGTTCTGAGCCTGGGATGATAATCACCATAGTCGGATTAGCTTATTAAGAGGTTCTTATGAATGAAGGGCTTTACACAACCAACAATATCAACTACAAGAAACATCGGGTGTTGATCAAGGGTTGCCAGTTACTATTTTGGAGCCTCCCAAAGCTTGCCTGATGCACTTCTCAGTTGCTACTATAGACCGAACGACCCAGAAGCTTAAATTATTGAGTATCCCAAAAAACCCTATTATAGATCGAATAATTTAGTGATGTAGTCCGAAGGCATCAAAGACGAGACCCAATAGTGTAAAACTAAACACAGGTATGCTATAGGAAACCAAGCTTCATTATTGTTGGGACAGCTTGTTGGCTTGAGGTGGCTACTGCTTACACACCGACACATACTCGTGAATCTTGTGATTTGGTGGTTTGAGGATCGAGGGTATAAGCTGTTGTATAGAGGGATTGTGTTCGAGTGCTACAGGAGGACTCAGGGATTAAAGACTTGAGAGATCTTCGATATTTCAACTTTGGGTTGATAGTCATTGGGGCACTCGAAAGGTTTGCTTTTTTCAGACATGGGGCTGCTGGCAACAGAGCCACCTAGCAGTTTGTGCAGGTAGCCCTTCTCGACCAGAGTGGTAAGGTAGTCAGACGGCATAAGCATCGGAACAGAGCAATCTTCAGATAATTGCTGATATGTCCAGGGCACATTCAGAGTGAGGTCCCACTTTCGGAGGGTCTTTTGCAAGGATTTTTCAGCATCAGATTTCGGGGCTCCACCCAAATCTCGTAGCGCCTTGCAGTCATTATCCTGGGTCGCAAAGGCCTCCGCGATGGTGGCCACATGCTTGGCAGAGGCCTCGGCGAACAGCGGAGGGAGACGAGTGGCAGGGGTATAGTACATAAGGTTCAAGATTGCTAACTTCACTCCGTGGGTGCGGGGGTTTAAGTGATGTATAGGCTGTTGGGTTTGGGGGTTTGGGGTTTAAAATTTGGGGGACTTTAGGAATTCAGGGCTTTGTAGCTCGGATACTTCACAGCACACTGGGTTGTCAGGAACCGACTGCTCAAAGCTCTGCAATCACTGCCTTTTTCTTTCGTTCGATGAAAGCTTGACTCCATTAAGCTATACAGCAAGCATGGGTGCACGAATTGGCAATGTGATTATAATGCTCGACATACCCACCTTTAGGAGGTAGTCATAGCCCTGCAGATTAGGCCAGATAAGTGATGCCAGTGCTAGAACCAAGTACAATAAACGATTTGCCATATTATAGCTAACCACGCACCCATCTAGGTTCATCAGCTCTTGCAGCCACACAATAGCAATAGTACGGAGGTTCAAACTTTGGTTGGAAAGCACGAAGTCGCATTCCTTCTCCACCCAATTGGATGTTGCGGCATTGACGTCGGTGATGGTGCTGGGCGATTAGTGCAGCTTCCAACATCTCGATCGTGCCAAGGTCTTTGCTCTGAAACATAACAAGCATCTTTGTCCAGCCATTGGTTTGATAAAGCTCAAACCGAGGGGTGCAGCTATGTGTTATCCCGATCTTGTAGATGGCAAGCGACTCACCACCGGTAGCCCTCCGTAGCTGTTCAATGCATCGTTCACAGTGCACTAGAACTTTCCCTGCTTGTGTATGTTCAGGAATGTACCGATAGGTGATCCCATCAGCAATTGATGCAGTCTGTATGCGTGGCTGTTGCCCGTCACATTTGACTGGCAGGTCCTGGGGCGTGGCGACGTGCGGCTCATCATCCGTTTCAGAGTCCGACCCCCAAGGGAAAATCACATCGATGGGTCTTTTCAGCCGCATTGAGGACAGGGGAGCAGTAGTACTTTAGGTCATGGATTTATGATTCCGGACCATGTTCTGCATGTGTAATGAGGATTGTCACCTTAAAGCAATATTCCGAATATACGATGGAGTTCTAGGCTGCTCACGAAAGCAAGCTTGATCGAGGCACAGCAGACACATGAATCAGCCATAGTCAAACAGAACATGAATACTGCCTTCAGTCGACCCTGCGAAGCTGGAAACCGACACTCACAACCATACTCGTTCGCTCTGAGGTTCTGGCGCCTGAAGCCAAAGACTTCACCAACGTCTGCGCCCGATCACTGGCTCTGTCCTGTAGCATAGGACCTGGCAGCCAATAGGCAGTACGGCTGGTAATTACAGTCTACAGAACATTTGACGGCATGTGTGCTCTCGATCAGATGCACTGCATGGTTTACCCCCTGCTTTGCGAAGCTGTCACACGTGTCTCGTAGCAGGCCCTCCACAAGCACAGCTAGCCTCACGTGCATTACCGAACATCTGTATATACACACAAAGTTGATCTTGCAAGGTTTGCCGGGCCTGCGTACATTCAACACACTCTACAACTCGCACAGCCTGCATGTTCAATTTCATCGAACACTGGCTTTGCAGCAGCTTCGTCGGAGCATTGAAGGAGCCAGCAGAGGGTCTACATTATTAAGGCCCCTAATCCAAACCCAATTAGAACCTCGATGAGATCTACATAAAGCTACTTAAACGTGTAAGCTTCTATAGGGTTCCTTTCAAAGATGATTTGAACGACTTCGGAGTTTGGGCTTGAGGGGCTTCAGGACTATCGAAGGTTTACGTGTAGGGGACCCATGCACGAATACAATGCAGAACCTCCGGAGGAAATTTCCTACATGGCCCAAACACATGGGACTCTGTGCCCAGGTGGACCACGATGAATCATCGATGCAGATTTAGGCAGTGGCCTTGGTCTTGGGCCTTTTACTCCTCTTAGGTTTCTCAGCAGCTGGCTCTTCGACTTCTTTTTCAGCAGGTCGCTTGTTGTTCTTCGGCGGGGTCTTCTTCAGCTTCCTAGGGATCAGGACAAGGATCGTGTACCTAGAGTGCTGGAGGGTTTACCTAGGCAGTGTTCGTCTGGCTGCGGGCTTTGAGGTTTCTGCTAAAGGATTCTACACATAGGGCTCAGGGTTTAATTTGGGGTTGGTACACAGAACTCAGACAATCCAGTTCAACGACCTCGGGGGTTACAGGTAGAGTTGCAAGCCCTTGCAGCCACAAGCAGCGGCATCTACATGCGTGAGAAAGGGCTCTTGTATTAAGATCCAGGGAGCTTGTTCTTCACCTCCATGGATGTAGCCATGATCATCCTCAGGTTCCAGCAACACTCGTCTTTGTACTCTCATGGCAACAGCTGAGATGTATTGGCTACACATATTTGCATACTAGACTCTGGCGTTTCACCTCTTCGCACTTGCGAACGTAGTCCTTCTGCTGCCTCAGCAGTCAGTGTGACCTACATCGATCGGTTGTAGCGTGGGTGAGTTGTACACATCGACACTAGTTCTGGTTCCAAGGCGCGTTTCTCCGAGATCCTGGATCTTCGCATCAGCTTGAAGCTTGGCGAGGTCGTCATATAGTTCACCTAAGGATTTGGCCACGGCCTCCATCTTGGGTAGCTCCCTTAGCTGGCTGTAGTTAACATTCGAAGATTTGCACACATATGATAGTGACACGATTTCTACTCAAAGATATAGACCAGAATGAGAGTCACTTGCACTGATGCATCATCACGATCCAATCGTTCTGTGAACTTCAGCAGCTTGTCCCTCGCGGTGACCGCCTCGTTCATGTGCCTTTGGAGGCTGTCCTTTACCTCGGTGATGAATTACAATTAAGATTGCAGTGGTAAGTAAATGACACATTTCTTTATGCGTGTAGTGTATGCAGTGTAGGTGCCTTGTCCGTGCCAGCTTCCACTGCACAGCTACCAAGCTGTGAGAGGTCCCAATTCTTATGCGGCTCGCATGACTTGGCACTCTGCCCGAAGCTATCAACAGCTCCGCTGGCACTGGTGGAATCTCTGAGACCCTCCGTGTCCCTGGTGCCCCGTGCCGCACGGGTGGTGTGATCATACCAGTACTCCCTCTCGCCATCGTACTTGCTTGTCCTTAGAATTTAGATCACGCATAACAAAGCAAAGCTCCATTGAAAAGCACAGCACAGAAACCTTCATTGGGAGCCAAAGCACCGCACGTGACCGGGAGTTTTCTCGCACAGCTCGATGATACCAGCCACTCTTTTCCTAAGCTAAAGTGCATGCACCTAGAACCCATCCGATCCATATAATGTATGCACAGTAGGGAGGCTGAAAACCCAACCCACGAAGAGCATGGATAATTGCGTCAATCAGGTCTGGCTTCGCTGGCAGCCCCAAGCCACCTTCGGCTTTGGGCCTTTTGAGGTCCACCTCCGTGTAGAAGGCCCCCTCCGTGACTTGCTCGCGAAACTTCTGCTGCTCACGGTACAGATCCACTTTGCGGATGAACTGACCCTTAGATGCTAGCCAGTGCTGTGAAGCCTATGTACCATGGTTGCATGCTGTCTGGTTGCACGATCCCCATCTGCATCAGCCATGAGCAAAATCAGATTGTCCCGAACCGATCCTGCTTCCTTCCACATCTTGTGGATGTCGTCGCTGACCTGAAGCTTGCCCGATTTCGTTCTGTCACACAAGCGATTCACCTTGGATCGCATCCTGTTCCAGAACTTCTCATCTCGCTCGGCAGGTTGCTCCTCCACAGAGACGGTGTGCCAGGCACTAAAGAGTTTCAGTGGTTTCCTTGGATTTACTCATATATTTTAGGCTGTAAAGGTTCAGCAGCACTAGCAGCTGGCACTGGTCATTGTTCCATCAAACCAATATAGCTAGGGGTTTGGGGTTTAGGAGGTTTAGAGGTTTTGGCCAGGGCCATCCATTGTACACAGCATGAGGATCCTAATTCATATAGTTCTTTGGAGACTTAGAGATTCATAGAGGACAGGAACATACCTGGCTGTGGATTTAATGTGGCCTAACTCCCGATCGGTCTTAGTATAAATGTATGCTTACCTGTGCCAGTCATTTCAGCCTGTCAACGATAGGAGGGCGGACTGTTGGCTTTTTGTTTCAATGCAGAGCAGAGGAATACTATAAGGTAGGATTTGCAGTTTAGGGCTTAGTTTTGGGCTGGTGAGAAAAACCAATAATCATTCGATAGGTTCTGGTTTCAGGCGGCGGAGTAGGCCCCAACCCCGTAATTGTAGAAGATGTTTGTGCGAGGGGGTGAAGGCTTTTTTTGGGTCGAGGATAGGAACCATAAAGCCTTACGAATCAACATATAGGGTCTTCCAGCACTGCACTAAGTTGAACAAGCCAAGCAGAGTCCCCAAAATTGAACCATGCACATCCTAAACCCTAAGACCGGCCCTACGACACCCCAAACCCCCTAAGCACCCTCAGCACTGAGCCCCAAAACCTTAGCCCAACACAGAAATCCTGAACCCTGATAAAGCATGACCTTTAGGCCAACCCTAAAACCCACAGACAAAAACCAATATCCCACACTTTCGGAATGCACATGGCCCGGCCTCAGGGGACGGTGTGGCCTGCGCTGGGTTACCCTGCAAGGCGGCCTTCTTCGGTGAGTTTTTCTTCAGCGGGCTGCGACGGGATGAAGTAGTGTTACTTGGGGTGGCAGCACGAGGTGATGTAGTCTTCGGGCTGGGACGAGGTGAGGCAGTCCTCTTGGTCTTGGGGGTCTTGGCAGGACTCATCTGCTTGGATGACTTTTGAAGTCGAGCAATAAGTCGCTGCTGTTGCCGAAGAAGCTCCAGCATGTGTTCACGCTCGTCCTTGGACGGGTGTTTGTCCCTACAATAGGATGTATGTTTGTTGTTGAATGGGGTCCACATGCTTATGTGCTGCAGAGAATCAGTCTTTCCACGTAATCTGTGAATAGGAGGAGACTTCTTTGCTGGTGAGGGTGGCTTCTTCACTGGGCTTGGGGTAGATACATGCTCTTCCTTGGGTGTGTCCATATAGCTTTGCAATCTCTTCTTCATCGCCTCAGTATTAGTTCAGCTCAGATATGGTTTCATGCAGAGAAACACACCGCACGCACATGCATTCTCCAGGTCTCAGGATATTGGTTTCTAAGTAAGGTCATGGCTGAGTTCGACATTACAGCTTCATCAGAATCACTGTCTTCGACTTCCAAGATGTCATAGCCATCTGTCGTCAAAGGGCCGTCCTGCTGTTTCACATTGTCATCTAGCAGCATGACAACTATATAAGTTGTATGGTTGCCAGGCTAGGAGGTATGCTCAATCGCACCTATACGACACATACACATACAGCACTTCTATTGTCTATCCTCCTGGTTCACGGTCGAGCTCTGTAGTGGGGTTCCGGAAGCTGATGTCGAGGGAGATGAGGAAAGTCTGCCCATCTTCTCTAGCTCATCAGCAGTTGCCGCAAGGGTTTCCGAGGTGCTCATAGGAGAGGTCACGACAGGAGCTTGGGCACGAGGTTGGGCCCCGTCCTTCATCTGATCTTCGAGCTCCTGCCCACAGGATATATCTCTGAGATATGGATCATCTAGGTTTGAGAACACTCATCTAGCTGAGTTTCAAAACTGATCCAAAAGTCTTTGAAGCCTTTATCATCTGCTGGAGTTCTGTCTCAGACTCTGGGAGCTCAGTCTTGACAGTCTCAAGGGCAGAGGAAACACCCTTAAGCATGGACGATCCACTCCAAGTCTTTGACAGGAGCGCTGTCGCAAGCTGCATGGCTGCAGCTTCCATCGCTACAGTGTTGGGGCCTGAGACCAAAGTCCAACCTAAAATGCGTTTAGGTCGACACAACTGACCACAAAATCTCGACTCAGAGCAGCCATGGGTAGGTTAGCCAGGCAGGTCAGGAACATAGGGTCAAAGCGAGGCCCAGATACGGATCCGTACGGTATCTGTACGCCTTTTGTACGCCTTCTGTACGGGTAAATACGGTCGTGCCCTGGGTCCAAATACGGCCGCAGGTGGGAAATACGGTTGCGACTTCAGGGATATACGGGTAGATACGGGTAAATACGGGCGTGCACCAAGGAAATATGGGTGTGCTGGCTGGAAATACGGTCGTAAGGCCCTCTAAAACCAACAAAACCATCAAATTACCACGAAAATTCCACCCAAAACCACCAAAACCCCCACCAAAAGGACCCAAAAGTCCCCAGCTGAGATCAGAAACACATACACCCCAAGGTTTATTCAATCCTTTGTCCTCAACAGCAGAAACTGTAACCAGCAAAACATTGCCCGGGCAAACGACACACTGGACCCCTAACATCATTTACCTCGATGTAAAGGCAAAAGCAGGAGCCTCATAAAACCTTAAGTGCGGGCTTATAAATAAACATCTATTCAGAAGCAGCCAGACTGCCAAAGAAAGTCTGCTAGCTACGCCACCGACAGCCTAGATACACTTTGATCTTGATCTACTTAGAGATAGTTCGATCTCTAGCAAGCGAACCCAAGAACTTGAGAAACCTAAACACCCAACCGAACAATCCCCAGGATGGCTATAGGCACTTCAAACCCATGCAATGCACCCCAGCCATACCCAGGTGTCATCTCGGATGCCATTGGATCATCGAGGCAGATCAACAACCAGAGCGGCCAATTTTGACTTTGGGGATTTGGGAGTGGTCCGATCATAGCCGAATTGCTGATTGGTTCTAGAACTGTACAAGTGGTGGCCACTGTTGCATGGGGATCTCGGCTTTCTGCATCAATCTGCAAAACCAGACTTAAGGCGAACGTGTAGCAATCTAGTTTCGGGGCAGAGGCTTATGTAGCTGAGGCTTTAGTCCAGGTCGGTTCTCGGGTGGATGATGCCAAGGCACGAAAAGACTGTGTCGAGTATTGTGTTCGGGATTAAAACATAAAGGCGTGCTTGCGCTTAGGGTTGGGGTTAAGGGTTTACAGCCTAGCTCAGGTCCTCCCTGATCAAAATAACATATATAGAGCTATCGTATGATCTGTATATATGCAACTGCATAAGATGGACCTATCCCCTCTTAGACACACATCATACCTGTTGGGCTGGGGGCCACTTCTATAGGTTTGGGTTGTCCAAGGTCAGCATCGAAAGGGGTGGGTTTCAATACATCAGGGAGGTTTTGGGCCTTGGTATAAGGATACAAGCTAGCTAGTTTAAGTAATTCGACCCGTATGTATATATGTAGGCCTACCAGACTACACGAACTTACCCATGTAGCCCAATTAAAATCGATTATGATAGTCGGGACTAGATGACAGATGTACCATCCTATTTCTGACCGAAAACTTTAGCCGTCCCACACAAACTGGTGCCCTGAGAAAGGCATCCTTCGAATGTGGCACAATAAGACTTGCATGCAATATCTACAATGAAGTTGGCAACACCGGTCTCCACTTGTCTGGAATAACCAAGCCTTTGCAGCCTCGAAGATAAATGACCACCTCCCGAAGCTGTGCGTCTGAACAAGTGTCCTCGAATCCTGCATTCTTGAACATCTGAAGTGCATCGGTATCCCCTTGAAACCAGACTGGCGGCACATCAGTCTGCAAGGGGGCAAAGATTTCAACCAATCGTATGCCCAGGGCCGGCGGATAGATCCTGGATTGGATGCAGAGTGGAACACTCGGGTGAGCTTTAAGGTGTTTAGGGAGTTTTGGGGTTTTGGATTAAGGTTGGGGTTTAGGGATTGGGTTTAGGGTTTCGGGAGTTGTGTTGGCTTTGGTTTGGAATTGGATAAAACGCCTTTATTTTATATATGGTTTTAGGTTCAAGGGCTGCTGAAATACATTTACATTTTCTCAGGCTTCGAACCAGGACTTGTTTGTTGAGGGGTTTGTTGTAACCAGCTAGATAGAGTTTCTCGATTTGAGGCTGAACGGGGCTGGGTTGTTTAGATGGTTCTTATACTCTGTAGCTAAGTTGCTGTGTAGTCCTCAGCTCCTTTGTCCCAGTGAAGCAGCTTCGACCATTAGCATCTTTGTAGCGGTGCACCGTCTTCAATACCTTGCTAGTTTTCTTCTGTCGTTCAGCACGATACTCTGCAACTTCGAAGGCTCTGGACCAAAAGCCTCTTATCATCGAAGTACTCGACCAGAGAGTTGTGCGCTTCGGTGTCAGGGCTTTGTAACAGCCCATCCAAAAGGAAACTTTGTAGACCTTGCAAGGGGCTGGAACCCACAAGCACATGCACAACCCTATAAATCTAACACGATCGATTTCTGTGTGCATCCTTACATAAACGTGATGCGACAAGGAACTGTTAATCTCTGACATAGCCAGCGCATTCTATCGTGTCTAAACATCAAACTCGAACTTGGCTGCTCCACAATAAAGTTGCCACCAGCAGCTACGACGAGGAGGCACAAAAAGGCACACCTAGGCTGTTGGGTTTAGGGCCTTTAGGGTTAAAGTTTTATGGGGTTTAAGGCTTAGGGCTTCTACGGTTGTTGAAGCATACCAGTCACACAGAAGGAGGTATGCGCACAGAAGTCGAGACACCGGGCAACCATTAAGTTCCCCTGAGACACTGAAGCATAATCCGACCATCCTTCGGGGTTGCACCAAGATCGTTTCGTACTTCCTCGACTCATATCCACCCACGTGGAACACAGGGGTCCGAGCCAGTCAAGGAATCCTGTAGCTCGGCCGTTGAGCACCGACATTATGAATGTCCTTGGCAAAGCACTGCTGGCAAACTCTAGAGTGTGTACTCACTTTCTACGGCAAGTTGAAAGAAAGTATGGCTTTGAGGTTTTAGATGCATGCATGCATATAACTTGTTTTAAAGCTTATGGGGCCTACACGTAGTTGGTTGAATTGTATAATGTTCTGGTTGTACAAGAATTATATGCATGCATGCCTTTAGGTCTTAGGTCTCAAGGTCAACAGCTACAAATCCTTTTTAAGATTATGGGGATGCAAACGAAGCCACCCGAAACCAGAAGGTTTGAGGATATCCATCCCGCAAGATTGAACCTTGTCAATGTTGCACACATTGTAGCCAGCCTGTTGAGCCGCAGTTGTCAAGATTGCCTTCCCCGAGAAGTGCTCAATGAAGTCGAATGGCTCCTGTGGATGGGTGTGTGCAAAAAATGCATGGTATGTAGCTGCTATTTGCCTATCGACACATATGTCCTGCTGACGCCACAGATCTGTATTCCACAGCACCAAGAGGACACAGAGAACGAATACCTTAGATCGACAGTGCAGGGAACGACTATGTTGGTTTATAGAACTAAATTAGGCGCTAGGTTCAAACCTTGATATCATTAAGAACTTGGACAGAGTGCTTTTGGCGCACCGAGGTGGAAAAGCCGTGGCACCAGGAAGTCTTCGCTCGGGCGAGGCATGGTGGCTGTAATATTCCAACCAACAAAGAAGCTGACATACTTGTAATAAACAGAACCACACAATCCTCTGAAGCTGGCAAGTCCGTGTTGCATGTACCTACCACAGTAAGGCTGCTGATCCTGCAAAACAGCTGCCCTCCTGCTTCGATCTTTGAGATATGTGCGCAGCAACACATCATCGGAAGGAGCACTGGCTGCAACAACATGCTGTCTCAGCACTGGCAAAACCTCGTTAAACATGCCTGGGCAACCCCCAGCAGCTTCAACTTCAGCTTGGGACATAACAGCACCTGCCCTGCAGAGGCCTCGCTTCCGCTTCAGCGACATTGTGCCGCTCCAAGTGGACCGACCTGCCCAGACGGGTTATGGTTTCAGAACAGAAAAGTAAAGGTCACTTGTATTGCTTGCGAAGAGCTGGAGTGGAAGTCAGTAATGCAGAAGTCTGTGGTGACTGTTGCAGAGAGACATACATATTTTTTCCGCAGCGTGTTCGCACACTGCTCGTGAAGCTGGCTCCCAGAGCCAAAGATCTATGATTGAAATCGCCAGAGTCTGGCTGACAGACAGCAAACCGACTAACAGCGAAGCCGGAAGGCCACAAAAGATTCCCCAGAACCCTTTCTAAGCAGCCTTGGCCCCACTTTCTCGAGGTGCTGCCATCCCATCCCAAAACAGCTCATCTGAACTGTATGCTACGATTGTTTGCTAATCTCAGCATCCAAATCAAAATTTGGTATCATCTCGATCCAAAGGTTCACTCGGAGGCATCGGGATCGTAGTACCACTCGCGTCCGACCTGTGTGAGGCAGGTTCTAGAGCTAGCTGAGCATAATAAAGTCAAATAAATTACAGGCCTTGGTGTTTAGAAATTACGGTAGTTTTAGTTTTAGACTTAAAGATGTATAAGGTTTCTAATGTAAACCAATTAACCTATGCATGCATATCTTTTACCATCGATCGGTCCTACCTATGATCTAAACCCTAAGTCCCTAAACCAATCCATTCGAAAAGATGGTGTAAGGTTGTGCAGTAGGCCTAGTGTTCAGGGCCACGGGTTTAGGGCGCCACACACACACAATGTAAAATAGGGATTGCACAAGGTCGTGTAACGCACACAAACATGCTAGCATGTCCCATGCACTACGAGTGAGGGACTACATGAAAAGATGTGGTCGCATGCATAAGTAGATGTGTGCAGGCCTGCAAACCAGGAATCAGCTCCTCCTGAACATAGAGCTCTGCTTGCACAAGGAAGAACTGCTTGAAGTCTGCAGTGGTCGTCACCGAATCATCCTCGTCAAAGGCGTGCTTGGCTCGCAGCCAGTACTCGTACTGCACAGGGCCAAGGGCTATGTGACTGAATGCAAACATGACGTACTACGAATATAAGTGCACATCACACATGGTTTACAGATGCTTGATCCTATGGTTCATGAACCCTCAAGCCTCACGCCGGGTGCGGGATCGATCCAGGATGTTGGGGCGAATGATCTCAATAAAGGAACGCACGATGTGTCGCCACAACAGCCAGCCCTTGTTGCCCTCAATCTGCGGACACGGTCGGCCTGCAAAGGTCTTGGGGCCCTCAATCTGCGGACACGGTCGGCCTGCAAAGGTCTTGGGGTAGTTGAACTCTACATCCAGGTCCAGAGCTGGGGCACCCTCTACCTCCATCGGCACTGGGTGTGGGGCATGCTCTTCATTGTCTTCTCCATCATTCGCAGCATGACGCACTGCCTTGGATCGCTTGCGCCTGATCTTCTTTCCCTGCCTTTTCACGGGTGCTGCAGCAGAACCCGTCTCTGCAGAGCACACCGCCAAAGAAGGGCGGCTGTTCTCACCATCCCCTGTCCAAACAGGGGTCGAGTAGCCCACATCATCATCGTGGCCAACCTCCTCAGGCACAGGAACAGCCAGCATAGCTGGGCGGCCATCAGCACAATCTGACCCTCCACGCTTGGCCTTCTTCCCTTTCCCTTTACCAGACTTGGTCTTGGGCTTGGGTACAGGCACAGTCCCCTCCTCAACCCCAACCGGCGCAGATGGCTCGGGCTCACACTCGCGTGCCCGCTTGACTGCAACCATCTTCGGCACATCTTTGGAGGATGAGGCTTGCTCTCTCATGGGACCCTTCTTCCCTGCTGATCGTCCTCGGCCCCGTCCCTTGCCCTTGCGAGCAGGTGGTCGTCCTTTGCGCTTGGGAGCAGCGCCGGTTGCACCATCCTTCTCGTTCTCATCCTCGTTCAGCTCCTTGCGGTCCCTCTTCAGACCAAGTTGATCGGCTCGTGTAATCACCTGCAGGCACAAGCTTCCGAACACTATGTTCAACCACAATGCTCATGCAGTAGCAACATTCACTGAAAGCGAGCATGCATGCACTCAATCGACACACCTACTCAACATACCTGACTACATGCTTGGGTTCACATATTTGATGGCAAAGGAACCTTCGGTGGAGAAAACTCCATGAACTTGTGATCGGCGGGCAATGGCGACGGGGTGTGGTTTGTCTGCGGGGAAAGGTTTTCCGTAGGCACTGGAACTGCTGGCGCGGACGGCTCCCCTGCCCCTGTGTCTTCATTCTCCGGGAAGAGCCTGCGAACCAGCGGGACAGGGGATTCCGTTAAGGCTTTGTGCTCTTCCTGGAAGATAGGCTCAAGAACCACCTGTGTATCCAGGGTGAAGGCTTGCGTCTCCTGGTTGTCCACAGGAACAGATCGAGCCACCGGGATTGGAGCAGGGGGCAATTCTTCATCTGAATCCACCGTGACCGGACCGTCAATGGCCCGAAGCGCCTCTTGTCCTTAATTACACACTACCATGGGAATGTGAACTCCAATTTCAATCAGATCGATCTATGGCATCAAGACTTACGAATGAACCACTGGCCAAAGCCAAAGCACGAGCCCTTTCAGCAGCAGCACGTTCTTCACGAAGCCTGAGCTACGAGAGACTCGATCGGAAAAGGAATACCAAAAAAAACCCTCAGCCGTCCATACCTAATCTTAGCCACACACACATACTTAAAGGAATGAACAAACGAACACACACACACACACACACAATCACCTCTCACCCACCCCCACCCAAACCCACCCTCCCACACATCCACGCTTTTCGATTCAACTCAAGTGTTCACACATGATCAATGCAGCAAAGGGACACTACTCGAGCCTGAAGCTTGGCTTTGCTGAGGGCTAGGATCTGCTTCAGTTTCTCGGAAGGGTCCTGCGGTGGAACCTCCATGGAACTGGAAGCACTGGCAACAGAGGCCCCGGTGACCCCGCCCTCATCTTCCATCTCCTTGATCAAGGTCTCCAACATTCCCTGTGACGAGTCGCATCTGAGCAAACTGGGCTCAACACTCGGATTCTCTGTAGACCCAGAACTGTGCGCACCACTGAGCTCGATATAGGAACCGTCGGTTGACTGGGAAGAATCAACACGGCAATTCTCGAGAAGCTGAAGAAACTCGGCTCTGCTGTCACCACTGGGCTCAACACTCTGATTCTCTGTGGACCCGGAAGGCACACCACTGGGCTCAACGACCGACTTCTCTACGGACCCGGAAGGCACACCACTGGGCTCAACAACCGGATTCTCTGTGGACCCGGAAAGCACACCACTGGGCTCAACAACCGGATTCTCTGTGGACCCGGAAGGCACACCACTGGGCTCAACAACCGGATTCTCTGCGGACCTGGAAGGCACACCACTGGGCTCAACAATCGGATTCTCTGTGGACTCGGAAGCCACACCACTGGGCTCAACAATCGGATTCTCTGGGGCCCCAGATGCAATCGCACTGCCTGGCTCAGCAGGAACATGCTCTAGAGCATCAGCTTCGAGATCATCCTCTGATTCAGCATCTTCGAACTCATATTCATCTGCCGCAGCAGCAATCCCTGAATCATCATGCACTGCAACAGCAGCACCCACTGGATCAGCAGCGGCCCCTGCACCACCAGGCGGGGGGGGTGCTTCTCCACCGTGGCCTCCCACATCGTCGTCACTGGCCGTGCGGCGAGGAATGCTGATTCCTTCCTTATCTCATTTAGGACAGAAGATCAACCAACCAATTGTCACAAATTGCCAAAACTACACCACTTGAGAACGACACGATCCCCTCAGTCTTTCATGCATACCAAGAAGCGGCCAAAGCCTCCTCGACGATCCTGTCATACATGTCCACGAGCTCTCGAACCTTGTGGTCCTGCGAACGATTGTACATGAGTATTTCGTTGGGTTTGGGGGGTTTGTGCTGCACTGAAACACTTGAGCAATAGAGTCCTTGGGCTTCTCAGCCCTCACCCACTTTCTTCGCAGTGTTGTGAGACTCCGCTTGATTCCCCAAGCATCTCTCACAGCCATTGCTGGAATCATGTCTTTGTCCGGGTAATTCGACAGCTCAAAGAAAGTAGTGCAACATGGGATGATGACATCCACTGAGGGGCTATCGATGGTGCGTGAGCACCGCATAAGATCAAGCACCGTTCTCAAAACCAAGTGATTTTCCGAGCAATCCTTCAGGTTTCCCAAGCACTGAAGACAGCCCATCACGGTCGACTTCATCAAACATTGCCCCTTTGCTGCCTGACTCCGCAAGCACCGGATCGCTTCCAGTTTCTCTGCAAACGTCGTCAGATCAGCCACTCGTTTCACCATGGCACCTTATCGATCGAAATATCACCACAAATCACGACAGCCGAAATGGCTGCATGAGGTTTCCCCAATCGAAGATAGTGTCCTGCATGCATATGTATACCTGCGCAGGCATTGTGTGAACTAGCATGCATGAGTACGACCTGTGTAAAATGTTCCCTAAAATCGGCCCTGCAGAAAAGGTTTCAAGTCCTGAATAGAACCCTGCCGCCTTCTCAAGGTCGAAATGGCCGCTGACCAATCGCCGGCCCTGTGGAAAGCTGATTTAAGAAGGGTTTAGGGTCTAGGGTACAGACGGCACCATGCAGGGTCAAGACGGCTCGTACAAAGTTAGAGGGTTTAGGGTTTCTCGTTCAGCATTCTTGGGAAATGTTTAGGTCTAGCTGTTGTCTGGCTTCCCAGCACCAGACGAGCGAGATTTAGCTTCAACCCCACCCCGCGCATACCTTCCTCCCTCATCAGCCCAATCCCTCATCCCACAGAAATCATTGGAATGCTATCACACATTCGTATCAGCACTCCAGTCTAAAGGTCGACCCGCCTCAGGGACGATGAGCAAAGACGATGTGCCGTCAGGGTAGTCGAAGAAGGCACATGTGAATCCGAGCACAGACAGAAAACCCATCGAGATTTACGTGATTTGCAAGGTCAACGAAAGTTATCCTGGCATACACTTATTACTAACAGGGCTTGCAAGTCTCACTGAGTTTCACCTGATTCGTGCTACAGGCTCTTATGAAAACGACCGCATGCTTAGAATCACTTACGACAGTTGCAAGCCGAAGCGTGCTGAATCATGCAGGCTTTCGCATCCACTGAACCCCTCTTATACCTGAACTGCCTATGTCTTCTCCTATTCAAAGCAGGCTTTGGCGGGTGTCAGACGACCCAATAGCCAAATCCTAATATACGGGCGTAGGGTTTTGAAAACCGGGTTATTATCACATAGGATCATAATAACCAGTTATGGATGAACGACGCTTTATTTACAGGCGTGTGCGGTTGCAGGTATATATATATATATATTATGAATAGTATAGTAGATCTCACAACCCTATATTCTAGTTCTTAACAATACGTTGTAGAACTCTTAAAAATCCCCTGGCCAACGCTTTAAGTCCTTGTTGCGTGTACGCCTGAGACCTGTGTGTATATCCCTCATGCGCCCCTGTCGTTTGAGGGCTTGGCATCAGGAGCATAATTCCATTTATTTCCCAAAGGGTCCTATAGGGTTTCTATATGGGAGTTTCCGAAAATTAAGGGTACCTTATTTTGGGGTCCTTCTAACAATGATCCTACTATTTAGGGTATTATATTAGGGTCCCCTATTTTCGGAAACTCCCATATAGGAATTAGTATTATGGTTTGGGGAAGTATCCCTCATAGCAGTACCTAGCACCCTTTGGGGTTTCGCGCCTGATGCATCAACCGCTGCGCACGAAAGGGCTCCGTCTCACAATGCGGCAACCGAGCAAATACTCTAATTTTTTCTGGCGGCACTCAGACAGGAACTGTGGCAAAAGTTCATAGCTACCTACACCGCTAAGTCTGCGATCTAAGTCTAAGTCCTTGAGCCCTACTTAGAGGATCAGGGGACTTAGTAGGTAAGGTTTATCCTAATTATAACCTACTTATAACCTTACTTACTAAGTCTCATGAGCCTTCAAGTAAACCCTTAACCCTAAACCTTATAGATCCCTTTAAGGAGCTTGCCTTACTTACTAAGTCTCAACTCCCTGAGCCCTAGAACACTAAGCCCGACATTCCTAAGCCCTGAAGGGAACTCCAGAAAGTTGGAATATAGTTTCAGGGTAGGATACTTTATAATTTACCTTAAAGGGTTTAGGATAATCATATTCCCCAACTTTCTGGCTTTTACTTTAGAACCTGAGCTGCAACACCACCTTAAGCCAACACTACAGATCGAAATGCGGAAGCCGCCTTTGCTTCTCTGTTTAGGGTTTTAGTCGCTTTCGGGTTTAGTGTGTAGTTTGTTTTGGGGGGTGAGGCTGGGGTGGGAGGGGCAGGGTGGAACGGGAATTTGGTGTAAGCCCTGATTCGTGAACCGCGTCTTGCCAGCTCGTCCGCTTTGTCACAGTTCGGGCATCGTGGACAAGGGCTTGTTTGGGTCTTCCACTGGTAGCCTTTCGCTCTTTTACTTTGAGGTCTTCGTGAAAAAGAGACCCTTGTTGTTGAGGGGCTGCTGGGGAACGAGGAGCTGCAGACTGTTCAGGGTTTAGCGTATTTAGGGCTTTGTGGGGCATAACGAGTTTGAGGTTTTGGGGGGTTTACGGGCCGCCGGATGTTGAGGCATGGATATCCTCATAGGCATCTCACACTCAAACCTCCAAGCAGTCCAGCCCAGGCATTCCTGCAAGGGTTCCTTCGACAAGGGATGAGGGTTTTTTGATTGACGGCTCCCTTTACGTCCATACTGTGACCTTTAAGTACGGCCATAGGCGCATCTTGACGGCTCATATACTACGGCTGATGGTATAAATCCTGCATTACCTTAAGGACCCTAAACCGTGGAAAATATATTCCTTCTTATGGGTAGTGCAGGATGTATATCATCAACCGTAGGAAGGTACATGAACCCTTTGGCACCATTATCGGGTCGTAAGTCAGTCGGCCGTAAACCCCATCGGTAGCCGTGGTCCCGCAGTTTTTGTGCTGATAGCCTAGCAGTAGAGTAGGTAACCTTTAACTCAACTAAGAAGGTTGACCTTTAGTTCCCCATGATACCCGACAAGTAGGATAGGGCATGAGTATGAGCCCTTCAAGCAGTAAGTTATTTTGATACAAAGGCAACGGGCAGATTTTGGGAGGTGTGGTTCCCCACGCTGTGTCAAGTCCCCACACACGGAACCCTAAACCTTACCCGAAGTAAGGGTCCAAGTACCCAATAAGCATATACTCTCCCAGATATTAACCTACACAACTACTATCCTAAACCCAAGTACCTGATTCTTGGGTCCTTTGGACCCTTAGGGTTAAGCCGTGAAAGATGCGACGATTCCGGAGCTGGGTGCAGCCACGAGCGAAGGAGCGACCACCCATGTATATTTGCCGCCGATTTGAAGGCAACCTGACGCATGCCATGCCTGCATGTGTTTGCAAATAGAAGATCTCAGGGCTAATGAGATTGCGAGTTTGATGCATGCTCCGCCACTTGCTTTTTTTTTAAGGATTCACGATGCCAAACTTACCTCTGAAAGGCCCAACAACACCACAGCTACAGCAAAGTATGCTCGGCCCCAAATACAAAACGTAGGGCAGACTCAGGGTCTTCATCCGATGCATGAGGCATTCTTGTGGGCACCCCGGAGCATTTCCGAACTTGAAGAAGGACCGGTAAACGGTAGATCTTCACAGGACCCTTATGAAGCCCTGATAGAAATTGCTAGAGGCCCCTGCTCCTAAACCCCAAATCCTGCACCTCCAGTGTTAGAGGGTTGTTCCGCGTTGAACTGGAGCCCAGCACTCTTTAAAATAGGGTTTATAGGGTTTAGTGTTTAGGGTTACGTGATGTGAAAAATGCTACTTGGCGCCGGTTCCTGAATCTATAAAGGTAGTTGTCAAGAACAAAGCTCCTTTTTGTGTACCCTAAGTATTAGGTGCCGTACTTGAATAGGGACACCAAAAGGGACCATAGTTTTGACAACCACCCATAAAGTTACTTGGATTGTGAAGCAACTGGTTTGGAACAGGGACCGTTCCCGGCAAAGGATGCCATGATTGCTCGGTTTAGGGTTTAAGGACTTGGTTTTGCCAGGACTCAACTTGGAGCCATCCCAAAACCCTCGACCCTAAATCGCGAACATCATGGTCGTCCCGATCCCAAAGTCAGCATGATGGTGCTACAAAGCAGTGTTGCTGGACCCTTAATGAGGACCCCTGGGCATATACCCTTAATATCGCTGCCTGTACCTTGGTCACATATCCACGGCACCCAACCACTGCAACAGTGCTATGAAAGCCTCTTGAACCCCTTTTACAGACTTACCCTAAACCCGAAGACTTAAACCGAAGACCTAAAACGTCAACCCGAAGACCTAAACCGTAAGCCCCGAGACCTAAACCCTAAACCCCAAGACTCCGACGACCTAGACGTACACCCAAAGACCTAAACCGTGAGCCCGAAGACCTACACCCTAAACCCGAAGACCTAAACCGTACACCCCAAGTCCTTAACCGTAAGCCCTAAGACCTACACCGTAAGCCCTAAGACTTAAACCGCAAGCCCTAAGATCTGAGCCATCAACCCGAAGACCTCATTACAGGAAAGGTCGGAGCACCCGAGCTCGCAATGCGCAGCAATGAGGACGACGTTGCTGACTCGGCTCTGGCGGAACTTCCCAGAGAGCCACAATCGAGTTGAGGCATTAGGTTTTAGGGTAACCTTTCATCTTGTGCAACCCCTACCTATACATATATAAGTAGTAACCCCACAGGTCAGCCTTTGAATCCCCGAGGATACTGGAGAAGTAAGAGAAGCTGTAAATGCGAAACTCTAGATGTTGCCTTACTTAGAGGATCATGGGACATAGTAAGTAGGTTATAATTGCGGTTATAAGTCCCCTAAGTGGGGTTATCCTAATTGTAACCTAGTTATAACCTGACTTATTAAGTCCCATGAGCCTTCAAGTATACACCCGAAAGCAACAGAGGGCTCCTTGGAATTGTTGGTTCGGCAACCCACACACCGCTTTGCAAGGACTCTCGGCGGTGATCGTCCATGAATATGGGGGCTGAAACATGAACAGTGCTCACCGACACTGAACCTGCAATCAGAATAATCCTAGCCGGTAGGCTGAACCCTGGATAGAAGTAGGTATAGTGAGCCCATGAGTGCAGGCTAGAATCCGCAAAGTGGTAGCTTCCGGCGGCACAGGTTATCCCAAAACCCTAACACCCTACCCCTCAGTCCTAAATCCTGGGAGCCCAAAACGCCAAATCATGCTAAGTTCATAGTCCAACACCCAAAGGGTACCTATATAGTC